TCTCGACGTGTTGAAAGCTGCTAATAATTCTAGATGATTAGTGTGGTATTTTTTATATTCTAAAAAACCCTCACCTAAGCCAATTTAAAAGCGTCAGAGGAAATTGTAATAGTCAATTTTACAGTGGAAATTGGGATTCCATTATGGAGTGATAAAGAACGGCTCCACAAGTTAAATATGACTTGACTGATTTTAAAATTGTCTTGTCCTTTTTTTTTAAGGGTAATATGTCTAATTGTTTTAAATTGTAAATAAACCCGGCCATAAACGTAACATTGTACAAAACAGCTTACATTGATTGATTTCTTGGATTAATAATAATTTTTTGCTCGTGGTATTCATCAGCATTTTTGAAGAATCAAACATGAGGCGGATGTACTGGTAACTAATGAAAGTTTAAATGACTTCTCTTATGAATCCCAAATAGGATGAAACTTCAACCACGACAGTGTTGATTTGCGATTGAATACCACAACTCGAACTTCGTTAATGACACACCTTTCTTTGGCGATAAATAAAAACACCTTAAAACAACTTAACAAATATGTTTAAAGTAAGGAACAAAGATTTCACTCAAAGGTTCAAACAGGTAGATAGATAAAAATGTTATGCTTTCGATTCAAAATCTTTACATGTAATCTTAGAATTTTACTTATCTACATGTTATTTTTAATACTACTGTATTTGGAGGAGGTTGTCAAATTCAACCGTCAATCCAAATAATATCCTTTTTCAGGTAGAGTTTTTAGAGTTTGTTTAGAGTGGCTAATGTACTTGTATCCTACTTAACACACGGTGATATTCGTTTTTACCTCCTCTTTATCTGTGTTAATTATTATGAGGTCGTCTAATTAGACTATGAAACTAATGTCTCTTGTTCTTAAAATGTTTTTGTAAACATGTATGGGGCCATTGGTAGCCCGAAAGGTAAGTAATGAGGAGGTACTAGGAACTGATTTATTTTTTTAAGGTTTAAAATAAAGAGCATTGAAATGAGGAGGTATTAGGAATTGATTTTGAAAATTGTGTATGTTTACTTCGTTTTATGATATTTCCTCTTTCGATGCCGATTTTGTTCATTTAAAGGGAATACTTACGTCGAAGAAGGTGGTGCTAATCGTTTTAGACAATTATTTAACTGATTTTGGTACAAATGTAGCCGCCAGCAGTCTTGTAAAACTACTCCACTCTACTCTATATTGTGTTGGGCTGTATTTCTGCTTTGTGTGTAACTACTTCTTTGAATATCTTTTGTTGTGCTAAACCATTTTATATTAGATTATTTGAGTAAATAATACTGGAACAATAATAAGAATAAATGATGGGATCTTGTGATCGACTCGCCCTGTACATTTTACATATGACATTATTTTATGTTAAGTGTTTCATATCTCAAGGCTTAACACTTTCCCTACTTATATTAAATAATTCGAATTTCATTAAAATGTAATGTTTGATAATACCATTCCCCCTACAATTTCAACTTGTCTGATAAAATTTTTAGGCGGTGGTTTTGTCAATATATCAACAATCTGGTGTTCAATTGGAATTTGTCCTTCTATGAAACACCGAATTTTGTGCCAGCTTGACAGCTACTGAATTGTCGACTTGAAGGACGATTAATAATAATCTACTTATCCAAATAATTTCTTTGGTAGCTTCATTTACCGCTACTATTTCTGACTTTGTTGTTGATGTAGCCACTGTTTCTTAATTTTTGGGGTGTAATAAAAGCATTTGTTAAAGTTACAAAGAAATTAAACTTTTCATTTTTATTCACCCCTGCACTCCGTCAGACGACCTGACAAACTGTAATTGCTACATATCCGTATTTTACACCTATAAACAATGCATTTCATTAACTTTCACCTTTGTACCCCTTTATATCGCCTGATAAACTATATGTGGTGTATGTGCGTTTTGTAGGCCTTCTTGATTTTTTATGAGTGGACTTTGACCGTATGACAATGAAATCTCAACAGATTACGATGAAATTTCATTTGTCGGTTAAAAGCCTTCGAAATGTGGTGTTATAGGCGAATGATGAGGATAACGTGGGTAGAAAAGGTTAGAAATGAAGAGATATTGGAAAGAATAGGAGAACAGAGGACTCTATGGAAGTTAATAAGAAATAGGCGAGATAGGCATGAAGGTCTAGTCAGAGACATATTAGAGGCAGAAACAGGATTTAGGAGGGGTAGAGGCAGACCTAGATTAGATTACTGTTTGCATATAGTTAAGGATGTGGGTTGTTTTAGTTTTAGGGAAATGCGAAGTTTAACCACTCTTAGGACTGACGACTTTATGATGATGATGATGATCCCTACACATCCTCAGGTGGGCTGTAGGGCTGTAACTCTTACATGTACATTTGTACTTATTCTCCATCGTAGGTATTACATTTTAATATTATATTAATAACATATTCTTTTTGTCATATTTGCATGTAAATCCGTACGATCGTTGGTGCTTTCACACGTGTATTGCTTACCTGTATGGAAACTCTTTAATTTATGTAGAATCTTTCCTTGCTAAAGTTGTTTCTGGACTCTTTAGCATGGGTGTTGAAAAGTTAAGCTTTTCCCGAATTATTTTTGAGTAGGCAGTTTGACTTATTTTAGTACTTCAGTCAAGCAGCCTCTCAATTTCATTTCTTAAAAAATATTTTGATGGTTGTGCAGTTATTTTAAACTCGTGTTTGAGTTTATTTATAAACATTTCTAAATCATGTAATATGGAACCTGCGATTAACCCATCGTCTACATATAAACCTATCAAAATAACCCGACCTTTAGTCGCAAGACTGTATAAACAAGGATATGCTTTACTTTGACGAAATTCCAAGCTAATAAAAAAATTATGAAATATGAAAATTATTTCGGCACCTTGAACCTTGTCTCAATCCGTATAAACACTTCCATAATCTACAAACTCTTCTAGTTCCATCATCAAAATCTTTAGACTATCTTATATACAGTATCTCTTTAAGTTCGCCATATAGAAATAGCTTCACTCATTGCAATATTTAAAATTGCGCGAATTTCGTTGATCATATCCTTTTGCAACAAGCCTTGCTTTATATTTTTTTTATGCTTCCATCAGGATTAATTTCAATACAGAAAATCCGCTTGCATGGAATCATTTTTGCATCATCTGGTAGGTCAGCTAGGACCCAAGTTTGATTTTGTATTAAGGATTTCATTTCACTTTCTATAGCTTTCTTCCATTCAGCACTATCTTCATCATTTATAGCTTCAGTGTATGTTCCAGGAGCAGATCATGCCGTCAGAACAAAATCATCAAAACGCGCAGGTTTTCATATCTCTTAAACATCGATTTGAAGGCTCAGGTTTTTCTTGAGTATTTTCCTATCTATCTTCAACTTCCTGTTTCTCGTTATCTTCGTCAACAGTAGCAACTTTGAAATTGTCTTCAATTCCTTCTTATTTTATTTCAGGTTCTTCATCAGTATCTTCAGATGTAACTGATGATATATTCTCTGTGAACTTTGTCTCTCTTGAGGTTTGTCAGATTGCTGAGCCTGGAGTGGTAATTTGATATGAATTTCAGTTTCACAACCTTTCTTGAAACTTTACGTCTTAAGATAGTTCCACCTTGTGATTTTTTTTTCATTAAAATTCGATATCGTTCGTCACTATCATACCCAACGAGAAATCCTTTTTCCTCTTTTCTATCCATTTTCTTTCTTTCCTTAGATGGAAAGTGAACGTAACAGGTAGACCCAATAACTCTTAAATGTTTAATTCTAGGTTTCTTACCCATTAATAGCTCATGCCGACTCTTTTCCTTCTCTAATGTCTTACCAAAAAAAAAAAAAAAAAACTTTTGGGTGTTTCATTCCCACCAGCCACTAATGCTGGTGGGCGGGCAGTCCCTCCGGACTATGCCGGAAGGTAGGGCGGAAGGCCCTCTTCAGCCTGCTTTCAGGAATCGTGGGAATGGGTGGGTGGTGGTTTGGGTGAGAAAGATGAGACGGACGAAATGAAAGATTATCTGTGGAATATTACTGCCTCAGCATTTGCCTAAGTGATCCAAGGAAACCACAGAAAAACGTGGACCAAGGCAGACGGGCCCGGAATCGAACCGGCGTCCTCCCGAATGCTAAGCAATGGTCTAGACCTCTAGGCCATGCCGCTCGGTGATGTCTTACCAGTTCTATTTAAAATATATATACAGGTCGGACGAAGGAAGCTGGCGAGCGGTCGCGCAGGTACTTGCCCATTTATGACCTATTTGGATAAGTCACTTGGAACCGATACACAAATAAGCTTTCAGTAGGCGTAAATTATAGTATTAATAATACAGTAGCGTGCTAGAAAATAACGTAGAAACATAACTAACCAAAAAGAAAAAATAAACCTGTTGCTTTTGTTTTATAGTTAGTTTTCACATTCCTTATTACTTTTAATTATTTTGCCTATCATATTATTAGGTGGTTTTCCATCTAAAATCCACCTCATACATGCAATTGACCAGTGACCCTTTTTTGACAATAGTTGTTCTTAAAATGTTTTTGTAAACATGTATGGGNATTCTAGGTAAAGGCTAACGATAGTAGAACAATAGAATCTAGGTTGAAAGGAAACAAAGGCATGCACAAGATAAGAAGTTGTAAGTCTACAAATAGATTTAGAAGAATATTCACAAAATAATAATAATAATAAAAATTCAATAAAAACGACTATAAGAAATTAACTTTAACGGTGTTACCGCCACAGTATCTCCCTGCTAGTAACAGGGCGTTACGGAAAACCAGCTTGTAGGCGGTCTGGAAAACGTACGCGTCTCCCAGCTCTGGTTACTGAGTTTCCTTTGGACTGTCCTTTGGGGGGTTGATCATGCAAGTGTCGAATATAAAAATTATTTTTAACGGTGTTTTACCGCTACAGTAACCCCCTGCTAGTAACAGGGCGTTACGGAAAACCAGCTTGTAGGCGGTCTGGAAAATGTACGCGTCTCCCAGCTCTGGTTACTGAGTTTCACTTGGACTGTCCTTTGGGGGGTTGATGTTGCAAGAGTGGAATGTTTTCGGGGGTCTCTTCTTCCCTTGTTGTGGTTGAAGGTGGTTCTGCTAAAACATATGCGTGTTTAAGCCGATCCACAGATACGGTTACATTACGACCTCTGATGTTGACTATGAATGTTTTTTCCGCACGCTGAACGACTGCAAATGGACCTTCGTAGGGCTGCTGCAACGTTTCTTTGACACCACCACGGCGGACAAACACCTGATTTGTGGTAAGTAGGTCCTTGAAAATGAACGTTTTCTTATCCTCATGGTGTCGCTCTTCCGTTGGTCGTAGATTTTGTTGAATCCTACGGAGTTCTTGGACAAACTCAGATGCGTCCTTGTAAATATTAGAATCCGGATTTGATCCTAAAAATTCACCAGGCAGTCGCAGCGATTCTCCGTATAGTACTTCTGTTGCGGTTGCCTGCAGGTCCTCCTTCCAGGCGGAGCGGATCCCTAATAGAACCGTAGGCAGGATCCGTGTCCAAGAATTGATGGCACATTATGGCGGCCTTGAGCTGTCTGTGAAGGCGTTCCACCATGCCATTAGTCGAGAGATGATAAGCCGTTGTGCGAATATGAGTCGTACCCAATAAACGGTTTAACTGTTTAAAAAGGTATGATTCTAATTGCCTGCCTTGGTCGGAGGTAATGCGTAAGGGAGTCCCTAATCTGGCTATCCAATTGTCGTCAGGGCACGAGCGACGGTTGTTGCTTCCTGGTCAGGAATGGGAACAGCTTCGAGCCATCTTGAATACCGATCAACCATCATGAGACAGTACCTGAGTCCTTCCGACGGTGGCATGATAACGATGTCGATATGTATGTACTCAAATCGCGCCGATGTTCCAAGGAACTTGACTTCTGGTTCGCCGAATACACACTTAGATGGGTTGATTATCACACCATATTTTTGCAGTCTCTCGAGTAATGTCCGTAGGTGGTCCATGTGTTCTTCCATTGCCGAAGATGCAATCAGGATGTCACCAATGTATCCATAACAAAATTCAAGACCTTGCAGGACTTCGTCAATGAAACGTTGAAAGGTTTGCGCAGCGTTTCGCAAACCAAAACTCATATGGGTGAATTCAAATAGGCCGAAGGGTATCGTCATTGCTGTTTTCGGCACATCCTCATCAGCGACCGGAATTTGGTTGAACGCGCGAACCAAATCTATTGTGGAAAATATACTTTTTCCGCTGAGAGCCTGGGAAAAATCCTGGATGTGCTTGACAGGATATCTATCAGGACACGTCCAGACGTTAAGGGCGCGATAATCCCCACAGGGTCTCCACTCGTCGCTTATTTTCGGAACCACGTGGAGTGGTGATGCCCAGGGACTCTTAGAAGGACAAGCGATCCCCAATTTAACCACGGCCTCGAATTCTTTTTTAGCTGCTCTCAATTTTTCGGATGCGAATCGTCTTGGTTTTTGCGCGACGGGAGTTCCGGGAGTGGTAATGATGTGGTGCTTCGTGGAATGGGCTGCAAATTTGGGAGTTCCTCCTAGTCGGGTTGTTCCCGAAAACTGTTGTAGCAGGTCGTGAAATGGTGACGAACCTGAAACTGTCTTGATAGATGGTAACTTACACTCAGTCACCTTCCCTTGGGACGTGAGATGAGTAGTTGAGTCCAGAAGACGTTTGTTTTTTATGTCAACCAACAAATCAAAATGGGACAGGAAGTCAGCGCCGATAATTGGTTTTGAAACGTCAGCCACAACAAAACGCCATGTGAACTGTCGTCGGAGTCCTAGGTCGAGGGTTAACGTCAATGTGCCGTAGGTAGCTATGATGGTACCGTTTGCAGCGGAAAGTTCGTAATTGGACTTTTTTCTCGGGTCCGGAAGCAACGAACGCGGAAATACACAAAAGTCGGCACCAGTATCAATAAGATATTTCACCTTTGTTGACTCTTCGATGATAAATAAGCGGCGTGGATGGTGTGTACGGTCGTTGTCGTCGGTCGCCATTAACGACTGCCCATGTCGTTTCCCGGAGGATTGCCTTGAAAACTGCAGGGTTTGGTACATTTTCTTGCGTTACTTCCAAATCGATTATGGTGCCAGCAAAATTCACTGTTCCTTGGTCGCGAATGTGAACGCGATCGAGAATTGGGACGTGATCTCGATCGATAACGTTGAGGATGGTGTACTGGTATTTGTGAATTTTTATAGCCGCTAACCCTTGGAGTGCAGTTGTTAATGCATTTTCTAGGAAATCTAACCTGTTGGTTGTGGAGGTCTCTGCTACGTTGTTAAACTGTCCATATCCTTCGACGATGGTGGCCGTGATCTCTGCTCTTTTCTCGAGAGACGGATTGACCAAAGGGCTTGCAGGACGTCGTCAGGGAAGTCACTACCAGCGAGGATGCGTAAGTGTCGCAGGAACTGTGTTGGCTTGCGATCACCTAATGGTTCATTTTCGAGCAGTCGTTTAGCGTTTTGCTCTTTCGATGAACCCATACGCTTTATCAACTCCCTGTTTAAAAGTTCGTAGGTTCTCTCACTACGCGGTTTTACAATAACGTCGCGAACTTCCAGGGCATACTTTTGGTGCAGTCCACTTAATGCGTACCCAAACTTTGTATTGTCCTGCACTATACCTGCGGCGTCAAAACTGCTTTCCAGCATAGAAAACCAGAGTTCTGGATCTGAATGTATGAAGACGGGCATTTTCACTGAAACGCGGTCGGTCGAATTCGCACCTTCCGCACTATGCTATCCGCACTTTTTGTTATACTTAAAGGACCTATTATTCTCTACCTTCACCCACTACAACTATGAATTTTTTCTTCTTTTTAATTGAACTTAATTCGTCTTCGGTATCTGCATATACCGATTCTACGTCTTCGCCATTGAAGGATGTCGTAGGTATATAGACTTGCACTATTACCGCTTTCGGGGTTCGAATTTAATTTAATTATAAATATCCTATCCCTTTATTGTAAATAACTTTCTACATTCTGTCCTGCTTTCTTACGCATTATAATTTTTACCCCCTCATTACAAACTTCATTTATACGTATATCTAATTCTACCATAATCCATCTCAACTTTCAAATTTTCTGAACTTCTCTATTTGCCTTATTGTCCTAACATTCCACATTCCGATTCGTCTTCCCCTATTACACTTGATGACATACCCCGAATTAGTCCTCTCCTGGACATCCGAGTGGGGGGTTATTTTACGTCCGAAGTGCTTAATCCTAGAGGGCATTATCATTTGAGTTTTGGTTTGATTTACTCGGAATATTATAATGTTGTGGTTTCCAGTTACCTTGCCCATTGCAGTGTTGTGCATCAGAATGTCATACCGATCCTCGTAATCTCTGCCACCCTGATAATTCAATCAAGTGGTAGTTTTGACGAGTAAAATGCCGGAGTTAAGTTTCTTAACGGTTATTTATGTTTTTTGGGTTGTTGAATCCTAATTTCAACTATGCCGCTTCGTACGGATGACGGAACCCCCTTTTGATCCTCTTAAACCCGCCCTTCAAATTTTTCTCATTTTCTCGATAACTATCCACTTTATGAGAAAGAAAACATTTTTGAAGCTGACAACATTTCCCTTTCCAAAATTCTTTTAAGATGAAATGTTAGGGAAATAAATTATTTTACTGATGAGTTAGGTAAAAATACTTTTTTTAATAGAAATGTTTCCATAAAAAAACGCACAATAAAAATAAATTTACAAAAGAAATAAATTTAACCCTATTTTTATACGTCGCTGGGCTGCAAAATATTAACTCGAAGAGGGATTGTGACGCACGGTTGGAAGGATTTTTTTCTCGAAATACCCCCTTTTTGACACCAAATGACTGGCCTATGAGTATTGAAAGAATTGTTGCCCACTTTCATGGAATTTTCTTAGTCTGGTTTCCTATTAAGAACTACCCCAATATAGTTGAACGTATGGTCCAGCTCCCTAAATTATCAAAACGTGTAAGCCGATCCACCTACTCTAATTATTTGCGAACTCTGCGCTATCCACTGCTTTACATCCCTACTACTCCTTCCGTCCTGACTTATCTACCCCTTCCATTTTATTTAAAGCTATCTCTAACTCCTAGCTAGATGCTAATACTGTTACATCATCTGCAAATCTAAGCATACCAATCTTTAACCACTGTGTATATATCCCTACAGTTGTACTGTCTTTAATGATGTTAATCGCATTTTCGATGTATAGATTAAAAAGTAGCGGTGACAGTGTGCAATAGTTTAACCCAATTTTTTTAAAATACTATAATATACAGTCTAAAGAACTTCTGACGTGTGTGCACTAATACACGCTCGCCCCTTTTTTATTCATGAATGTTGATTTTTTTACTATATTTAATATGTAGTAACAACATTTAGGAATGCGAACATCACTGTCTTTTTTGTTAGTCGTCCTACGTAAATGTATCACGGCACGTAAGTTGAGAAATTAACGAAAAACCCAACTTTCGCTTATAACAAATACCTTGAGGTCTTCTACCTTCTTTTTCGCGTCTAACACCTGATACTACCAATAAACAAATAAAAATTAATATTTAGCGTATTTGTGCCGTAGATCATCAATTTTTTCACAAGTGGCTTATACTTAATCCCCCAAGAAAAAGTAAACACACTGGAGTGAGGGGTTATTTAAAAGTGAATTTGTTTATTTTATCTAAAGGCCAAATCGCTAAAATTCCATTCATAAATGTTGAAGAAACAGATGAAATTGAGGGGTATCTGACAGTATATTGTTGTTTTTCTAAACCTGTTAACTAAATACATGCTATTACAGAAATTTACTTGTGCCTGGAAATCTTCTTGAAAGACAAAGAGCTAATTACATATTCACAGTTTATAAAGGAAACGATATAATTAAAGAGAAGTATTGCTTTTCAAACGAAGAGAAACGCATGTGCAAAGAAGATGGTCCCACTTCGTATATTGAAGTAAAATTTGCCGGCCGTCAGGTACCTACATTTTCTTTTGTGTTTAAAAAATTTAAACTTTGTCCTATGTGCCGAGGAACCTAACCAAAGTTGAGGTAGATTATTTGTTAATTTGATTAATATTATTGCTAGTTATAAATATGAAATACTTCATAGTCACTGAGTATCTAAATTGGTAATCAGACGATTCTTGTAGAAGTTAATGGCAGCTGCAATCAGTCCACTAACCTCACTTTTCTTCACTGTTTCATTATAAAACTAAAACAGGGATGCTTTCTTTGACTCAAAAGATAAATGGGATTAAATGAGATTATTCGTAGCCGTCTAATAAACATTACATCTGATGTCATAAGAACTTTATTTAGCAGAATTGAGTATAACTAAATCTTGTTCCCTTAACTCACGACTTGTAATAATGTCCTAACACTGTTTACATTTAAAATATCCATGTAAGCAGAGGCAGATTAAATGTCGAGAGCGCCCTAGGCTAACACCTCGTAGACGACCCACTGGCGGTCATATATTTTGCAAAATAATTTTTGGAAGCAGGTACTTTCTTATTTTTTTTTCGCGACCCTTTCTAATCTTGCGCCCTAGGCATGTGTCTAGTTTGCCTTACAAATAATCCGCCACTGCATGTAAGTCCTCAGGAGTCAGGCACCTTAGCTGCCTAACTGTATCACTTTTTGTCATCTCGACATAACCTACTACTGCTTCTACATGACCATTTTGGATTCAGAAAATAAAAGAAAAATAGTAGAGGGTTAAGTGGTTCATAGGCAGCGTGATTTAGAAAGATGATCAAATTACGAACTAGAAACTAGCATACAGTCACTGCTGAAGGTGCAGTGATAATGTCCTGTGTAGCATCAATTTATTACAGTCACACAAATTTGGTCTCGTACGACGTACATGATCCTCCAAACCTTGGAAAATTCTACGTAGAAGATAATATTTATTGCTTGTCCTTCAGATGAAACTTTATATCCAGAATAATACTGATGTTGAATTGGCTGTTTCGATATTTTTTCGTTCGTGGTTCCATTTCCATTTTTTATTTTGTGATTTAAGCTCGACGTCCTACTCGTCGAATCACTGATGTCATCAGTAGTATTCCATCCAAATCAAACAGCAGTTCGAGTAGCTTTTTCAGTTCATGCTATAATCTCAAATTTTGGTAGGTGTCAGCAATTTTGAGATAATTTTGGCACACAATTTTTAACCTGGAAATGTTCTGATATGTGCATAGACGATTTTCTGTTTAGACTATCAACAATCCGAACATTAAATATTANAGAATTCATTGCAATACCAAACAAAATGGATCCTGAGAAGAGAGAAAACTTCTTATTAAATATAAACATTATTGAAGGCCGTCACTATATTTGGCCAAATATGAATTCCGTGGTAATTGTAATGGTAGGTCGTAGGGCGTATGCAACACTCGTCCGAAAAGAGTCTTATATATAAAAATTAAATCTGACAATTTTTCTTCGTCAATTGCTATAAACCCATTATTTAATTCATTCCGTTATATTTTGAGCTTAGTTATGTGTAGACGCATCTTGATCCGTAACTCAAGAAAATGCAAAGAAATTGTGCAATTGATGTTTGGAAGTACCTTCAAATTACACTTTTAATGCTGAGAAACTCCATCACTCTCTGTATTGGCTATCATTGACTTGATATAGCTATTTGGTTTCTTGTAAAAATTGGTTTGTTCTTTATAAGCTTGTCTTTCATCTTCTATAGCTCGATAGATCTCGTATTGTATGTTTCTACAGTGACCACTCAGCATCACTGTTTAATGGTTTTATACGCTTAAAAATATATATACGAGGGTGGATTGATAAGTTTCCGGCCTGACCAAGAAAAACAAGGTTTTTAAAAATTTTTTTTTTTTATTTCTCAACATAATCTCCTCCAAGGCTGATACATTTCTCATAGCGGTGTTCCAGTCTATTAATGCCATCTCTATAGACTGATTCGTCAAGCTCCTCAAAATAACCATTTACAGCTTCGATTACTTCTTCATTGTCCGCAAATCTCTTACCGCCA